GGCAGAATACTGCTGCGGGTGTAATTCTGCTTGACGGTGACGACTGGCCTGGTGTCATCCGTGCGGCTGGTGACCTCGCTGTCGACTTCGGACGAGTGACCGGTACGAATTTCACGACAGGCCTAATCAATGGCACAACCCTTCATGGTCAATCTTCCGCTCGCGGTAACAGAGGAGTGATCATTGCTGGAACAATTGGCAAGTCCCGACTCATCGATTCTCTTGCCAACCGGGGCAAGATTGATGTCGATCAGACTAAAGGAAAATGGGAGGCATTTCAGACCGAGGTTGTTAGCAATCCGCTTGAGGGTATCTCGAACGCGCTGGTCATCTCTGGCAGTGACAAACGAGGAGTCATCTACGGCCTTTACGATATTTCCGAGCAGATCGGAGTTTCTCCCTGGTATTGGTTCGCCGACGTCGCGGCTGCCCAACACAACGAGGTATATGCGTTGAAAAAGAAGAAGGTCCAGGGACCTCCGTCTGTCAAATATCGAGGAATCTTTATCAATGATGAACAACCAGCTCTGACTAACTGGATTAATGAAAACTACCCTCGTGCGAGATACGGCCCCGGTTTCAATGCCGACTTCTACACTCGTGTGTTTGAGCTACTTCTCAGACTGCGTGCGAACTATCTATGGCCGGCAATGTGGGACAATGCGTTCTATCCCGACGACACACGCAATGGCCCCACAGCAGATGAGTACGGAATCGTCATGGGCACCAGCCACACAGAACCCATGATGCGAGCGACGAAGGAACAGTCGCTGTTTCTGGAGGGACAGTGGGATTGGACCTCAAACAAAAAGAACATCACCCAGTTCTTCAGGGAGGGCGCCATCAGAAGCAAGGACTGGGAAGTGCTCTGGACCCTTGGAATGAGAGGAATAGCTGATACTGCGAATCCAACCAATACAAAGCAATCACTGGGAGATATTGTGAATACGCAGCAGCAGATTCTGTCAGACGTCCTCAACATGACAAGCATCTCATCCATTCCACAGATGTGGTGTCTGTACAAGGAAGTTGGCCAGTTCTATGAGGAAGGACTGCGTGCTCCGGATGACGTTACTCTTCTCTGGGCAGATGACAACTGGGGCAATATCCAGCGGCTGCCGGTTGGCAATGAGACGGCTAGGTCTGGTGGTGCAGGCGTGTACTACCACTTTGACTACGTCGGCGATCCCCGTGACTACAAGTGGATCAATACGATTTCCCTCCAGAAAACCTGGGAACAGATGCATCTTGCATACGAGCGCCAGGCAAGGCAGATCTGGGTTGTGAATATTGGAGACCTTAAGGGAGTGGTGAGTGGTGAGCCGGCCACTGGATTGCTTGAAACCTAACATGGAATCAGGAACTTCCCTTGAACCATTTCCTTGACCTTGCATACAATACGCCATTGTGGTCCTCGCCTGATAGCACTCTTACATGGCTCAACCAGTGGGCTACCCGCGAATTTGGAAAACAAGTGTCCAGCAAAGTTGCTGATATGATGGATCGCTACGGGATGTATGCTGCGCGGAGAAAGTATGAGCTCATTGACAGCTCAACGTTTAGCGTGATCAACTATAACGAAGCGGACCGGGTTCAAGAGGAGTGGCGGGCGCTCGTAAACGATGCTCTGAGCGTATACCAGAAGTTGGAAGATTCGGCCCGTCCTGCGTTCTTCGAGCTCGTTTTGCACCCTTGCATGGCTGGCCAAATTGTCACCAATATCCATATCACAGTGGCGAGAAACAATCTGTACGCAGGCCAGCGCCGTACGAGTGCCAACAGTTTGGCGGATCAAGCCCTGAAGCTCTTCAAAGATGACCACACTTTGACGCAGAGGTACCACCAACTTCTTGATGGCAAGTGGAATCATATTATGGACCAGACGCACCTTGGTTATGATTACTGGTATGTCTCATTCGTTTCCGTACGTCTTTGAATTGGTACTAATCAAGCGCCAACAGGCAGCAGCCGATGAGGAACACATTGCCCCCTCTGGCCTATTCACAAGTACTTGAGGAAAGTCTAGCAGGAAGCATGGGTGTGTCTGTCGAAGCAAGCAATGCATCGGTACCGGGTGACGACGTCTGGCATTCGTTATCATCTAATGCTCTGACCCTGCCACCCATGGATCCTTACGGACCAAGCACTCGCTGGATTGACGTTTACTCACGCGGAACGCACGATTTTACCTTTACAGTATCGCCATATGATTCCTGGGTCAAAGCGTTCCCCTCGTCCGGCAAAATCTCGGCATCTGGAAATAACACAGACGCCAGGATTCAGCTCTCCATCGACTGGGAAAAAGTGCCCTCCGGATCTCATATGGCCTTGATCAATGTCACCATCTCATCGGATAATTACGGCAACTTTGGAATGCCCACAGTGCAACTTCCTGTCAACAAGACGTCAGTTCCAGCTGACTTCCACGGCTTTGTGGAATCGGATGCCACAGTCAGCATGGAAGCTGAATATGCCACCCGTAACACGTCGTCAGCTGATGTCTCGTACGCCGTCATTCCAAGATATGGCCATACGCTGTCGGGAGTAACGTTGCTCCCTGTCACGGTTGAAACACAGCAGCCTCCATCCTCTCCTCGACTTGAGTATGATATGTACTTGTTTTCCAATGTGTCCACTGTCAACGCCACGGTCTACCTGGGACCCTCGCTCAATAGCGATCATTCCCGTCCCCTCAAATACGCCATTTCCATCAATGACGCTGACCCTCAAGTGGTGCAGTTTGTTCCCTCGACTCCCTTGGGTTCCTTGCCATCGAATTGGGGCACTACGGTCCGTAACGCCGTGTGGACCAATACTACCAGTCATGCAATTCAAGGCGGCGGCAGAAAGAACACACTGAAGCTTTGGGCCATAGAACCCGGAGTCGTGTTTCAAAAGATTGTGGTGAACCTGGGAGGAGTCAGGCCAAGCTACTTGGGACCACCGGAGAGCATGATTGTCTAGTTGCTTGTATATAACGCATATAACTCTGATTACGTGGCTGTATATGCAATAATATCTGAGCTTAGATAGAGCTGCATTCATATTGTGCAAAGAGACCTTGATGCATTGTGTTAGGGCTCAGTAAATGCTCGGTGACCGCTCGGTGGCCGGATGATTGCGGTGATTATATAATCAACTTTTTGTCTCTATACTTCGACCTTTCGCACATCTCTCATAGTTCCCTCCGCACCGCATCGACCATTTTGCAAAGGATGGCGTCGTCAATCAGATCTTCTGCATTTCAATCGCTACTCCGGGGTAGATCGTCCCTGGCACGCACGCCTCAGCGACGATGGGCGCAGGTGCATGATGTGCGCTTCCTTGCCACGCATCACGATCCGAATCACATCCTGGACAGATACAAGTCGAAGCTGGACAGGAAGGCCAAAGAGTAGGTTATATGCTAATGTTTCCGTGATCCTCAGACCCAACTGAATGGTCGCTGACGTTACGCCTATAGAGAAGGTCATGGCTCAGTAGAGTCTCTCAAGGAAGCCTACAAGGACAAGATCCAAGACCTCCGCCGCAACGCAGCCACGCCTCTCACCCCAGAGCCAACTACACCTCCCTCGTCCCCGGAGTCTTTCTCTGCCGCCCATCCACCACCCCCTCCCACACCACCGCCGTCTCCCAAGTCCGCCGCCGCCGCATCGTCCGTCTCAGGCTCCTCCACAGGCATCAAGCCGCTCAGCTCCTACCTCGACGTCGAGAAAGTCCTCGCCCTCCCCCAGAAGGAGATAGAAGCCCTCTGGCGCCTCCGCCACGCCAACAACCCCAACTCGATCTGCGCCTGCATCCCACTAGAAACCTACGAGCGCATCGCCTCCGCCGCCCGCCACAACCCGCAATTCATCCTCCCCCTCCCCCGCTCCTCAACCGAGCAAGCACCCGCCGAAGACGGCTCCACCGTGGACCCCAACGCCGTCGGCGCAGACATCCACTTCTTGCAGTGGGCGTTCCACCCGCCTGCCTCCCCCGCCTCCGGCCCTTCAGCGAACAACCACACCTCCACAGTGATCTTCACCCAGCTGGCCGCGTACAAGCTGCACGGTGCGTTTGCGCAGCCGCATACCACGATCACGCACCACCTGGATCTGGCGGATGAGAAGGGGTTGGTTCTGATGCATGGGCAGGTCATGCCGGATTCAGGGATCTCGACGACCGAGGCGAGCTGGTTGGTGAGCTGTTTGCAGCGGTTTTATGATTTCGAGGGCCAGGCGAGTGGGCGGAAGGGGGAGCTGGTGCGCATGTTTACTCGCGGTGATGTGGAGGGGTTCAAGATGGAGGAGTTGATGGAGGAAGCGGAGAGGCAGTAGAGGCTGTAGAGGCTGTAGAAGCTTCGTTTGAAGCTGTATTACATGCTTGTGTATAAATTTATAGATTAGAATGGGTCTCGCAAGACTACTTGCGGCGCCAATGAGAAACGAATTGGTGACGTTTTACAGTTTTGTTGACCTATTTGGTTAAATGGTACACACTAGCAATTGGTTACAGAAGCTAGCGATCCATAAGGTATGTTAATCATAAATCGGATCTAGTACATACAGCCATCCAAGAATTCACCTCGTACACCTTGACAAACAGGAGGAAGGAAAAGGAAAGCGACCAAGCTAAGAGGAGAACGCCGTTGAGTAAGACACACATTAAAACAGTTTGATATCATCAGAACAGAGCGAAGCCAAGCCGCCAGGTAATACGTAGTATAGGTAAGAAGTATCGCCCACTCCGGTCACAGAGTATAAGTCGAGTAGGGGAAGGTGAACGCTCAGAGGAAGAGGATGGTGGTGAGAAGACAGCGCGGGCCAATATGATGCACCATTCGAACAGCAGAGGACACATTAAATCCTCGGGGTGTGTCTCAGGGTCAACCAGCTAGCCAAACTGATAGAGTTCATGCAATGCAGTGTCGAATAGGGGTATCGATAATATAATGCACACAAAAGTGCGTCTTATATGCAGCGGATTTTAGATCAATTATGCCAGTCAGCGATGAGTTTCTATTGCTTTCGTATCACTTCCTCCATGACAAAGTCATGAATATGCTCAAAGTAGCCTGATTCGGCGACAGTATCATTGTGGCCGCCGTTTGGAAGGGCGCGCCAGACCTTGTGGCTTGATTTGCAAACTGCGAAGAGCTGTGTCATGTTTGAGGGGCTGAACCACATCGATGATTAGTGTCCTATTCAACTGGAAGATAGACGATGGACTTACGGAACCAACTCATCCTTCAACCCACTCATGAAAAGAATAGGTACGTCACGAATCTTCGGCAAAACCTCCTCGCTCGCCCAATGCTGGTGACATAGTCGAGCGAGATACCGGGCGGGAGGAAAGACGCTGTCCGTGTGAGTATGATCACTCGAATATCAAGCCAAGACAGTGGAGTACTTACGTCGGGATTAACTTGCGGATACTCAAGAATGTATTCTCCAGTATTAAACCGCCAACATCACCGCTATCTTGGTTCTCAGCAACCAAATTGATGGCTACTGCACCGCCTAGGCTTTGCCCGTACACGACAATCTTCGTGTTCCTCGTCTCTGCCCGTTCTCGTAAGTAGTCGAAGCCGGTTTGCGCATCGATCTTAAGCCCTGCCTCATCTGGTACACCCGTCGAAAGCCCATAGCCGCGATACTCCAACATCAGCACATTGCAGCCTAGAATCTCTTGGAGCACCTTTGCGATAGGGACACGGTGGCCAATATTGCCCGCATTTCCGTGAAACATCAAGACAGTTATGTTCCGAGCATGTTGCTTGTTTGCGGGACGGATGAAGAAGGCATGTAACGACTCTCCGTCCGGTGTGGGAATTTGGAGATCCTCATAGTCGCTGATGCCGAATTGTCGCGGACTGGGGACATTGGTGCGGGCATCGGTGGGGACGTTTCGAGGGTAGATCAGCTCACTGGACACGCGATCAGTTTCCGGCTATGCAAGAGACAGAATATTGTCTATCTAATGGTCAGGGTCGCACTTTTGCTTAAAGTATAAGAGACCACTGGCAACAACAGCGAGACCAGAAGATGCCAGTACTGGTAATCGAAGGAAATTCACGGCATTGTTAGCCATGGCAGCGATGCTCCATGACGGCGGGGGCGGAGGAGACTCGGACATTGCGGCAGATGTTTAGACTAGATAAGTAGAATGAATGAGAGTATACTGATGATATGGTTTTGTCTTTCGAGAATCAATCATGTGGATGAATGATCACATCAATAGGTCATCATAGACAAGAAAATTAGCGATGGACAGGATGAGATTTGCCTCGAGGACAAGCAATCTGGTTTAGTATGAAACAGGTTATATTATGGTGCCATCGATGGCTGGAGTTCAGAATTGTTACTTACTTTCTATGCGGGGAGAATGCTTTCCCCCACCAGACCAATAGGAAAAAGTATCCACCACACCGCCCGACAGAATCAGCTTGAGCTGACAACGTAACGCGCTCTGCCTGTTCGAAGCTCCGTCAGAGCTATCATCATCAGACTACCTACTATCATCAACCCGCAACCACAACCTTCATCAACCGGCCATTCCCATCTTCTAGCTTGTTGTACGGCTCGCAACTTTTTTGTTCTTCTCATTCCGACAGTGTACATTTCGTCAAACGAGAATTTTCCGTCAGCCTCCAGCTGCCACAGACACAATGGTCGGCCACGGCGTCACAGGGATGCTTGGGGAAGGTAAGTCACTGGTTTATCGACGAGTGACAATAGAGCAGAGCAATTCCTGATGGTCTCCTTAGATGGAATTCACATCGACATGAACCACTTGAAGACCGGAGAGGTCAAGTACGTCTTTCAACTCCTGCCCATACATGTCCTCATTAACACGCTGCTAACCACCATGCCTTTACAGCCTAGGTACCTCGATGTGAGTGAGCTGATTTCACGTTGCACCTTTTGGCTGGTATATTGATTGCAAATAGTATGGCTATCAACTTCAAGGACGGTGTTATTCTGGGAGCAGATAGCCGGACAACTACTGGAGCTTACATCGCCAACCGAGTCACCGACAAACTCACACAGGTCCACGATACCATCTGGTGCTGTCGATCTGGATCTGCGGCGGACACGCAGGCTGTCGCGGACATTGTCTCCTATCATCTCAACATGTACGGCATCGTGAACAATGAGCCTCCGACCACCCAGGTGGCCGCGGCTCTGTTCCAGGAGTTGTGCTATGAGAACAAGGATATGCTAAGGTTGATACTCTTCCCCCAGTTGCTGAAGGAGAAGCAAAAACTTACTAATGGGATTTGATGGTAGTGCTGGTATCATCATCGCGGGATACGACCCACGCCATGGCGGTCAGGTGTACTCGATACCTCTGGGCGGGTCTCTACACAAGCAATCCTACGCCATTGGCGGCTCGGGATCAACTTACATCTACGGTTACTGCGATGCTCACTGGAGGGAGAACATGACGGAAGAAGAAGGCATCAACTTTGTGCGCAACGCATTGCAGGAGGCGATCAAGTGGGATGGCAGCTCCGGAGGTGTGATTCGATTGGTGGTGCTGACGTCCAGGGGAGCTGAGAGACATTTGTATTTGCCAGACACGGACTACACTGCACCCGGCCTAACCAACAGATCATGAGTGGAACATATACGGGATGATTTTGTTTTGAAAGATGTTGACCACTTAAAATGTGATCATCTGCATCAATATCCGCTGACGCAGTACCTCTCTAGTCGCGAGGACGGACAATTGCCTTGTCGAGAGGCATCACCAGGATAGAGGGATTCTTCACATCCAAGCAAAGATCATGTAGCGGAGTATGAGCGGGACATCTGAAAGTGACGGTTTGCGGGATTTAAATGGACCTGATAATAATAAAGACCCTACCCTGCCTACAATCTCAGTTCCCTATCGTTGAACTCCTCAAGGTCGATAATAATAGGAACTCCGTAGCGCGTTTCATACGTATCATGAGCGCGGGGGATTGTGTCGGTGAGGAGAGAAACCAATGATGCTTTGACTGGGAGAACATTGCTCTTTCCGGTGATGCGATTGCTCATTTCCAGCTCGAGTTGTGTCGAACAGAAGAATGAATAATGAATCAACGACGTGAATCACTCGGCATCAACAACGTGATGTGATTATGCAATGTAAATACTTCATATGTCGGTGGACCAAGGATCGTTAAAGGAGAACTAGGCAGACCCTTTGCGAACCCGAATCATTGCGGATCCCCTCAACACCTGCACCGTCAGAGTCCTGTCATTCGTCCGCTGGAGCCCGCCCCTATTGGGCGACAAACTTGACCTTAAGGTATCATGGATAGTGCTAGTAGTAACTATCCGTAGTACTTGGTCGTTTTGGATTCCGGTCTGGATGCTTGGAGTATCCGAGTATTTGTCTCTTACTGGTCATGAACATAGAGTATGTCCCTCTGTTGAGATGTGTATCTTCTTGAGGGATGAAGAGTGGTTGCTAGAACTGCGGAGAACATCATCTTATCGCCAGAGAATAGTCAGCACTATCCAATTAGGATCATCACGATATTAGTGCTAACGATTGTTAGCTGGGGTACGGGTTCTCTGGTAAGACAACTTTAAGGTAGATGTAGTTGTGGCTCAACTCCTCAACAGAGACAGTATATCGTTACCTAGTATTGAAGCTTTAAGATACCTAGTATGTAGAGAGATAGGTTCCGTGGCTAGATATCAGTCAGTCATGTTGATGGAGTCGACAGACTGAATTCCATACATCACAATCATCATTATTTTCTTTTCCTGGTTTATCGTCAGCATAGATAGATAGTAGCATTCATCATCATGAACATCATCGCTTGGTGATTGTGGAACCCCCCCGTCCTTCAGATTTCCCTGTTGGAGTCTCCCTCATCATCCTGTAGTCTATCGCCTTCGCCACTACTGACTGAATCGCTCTCCTGATTTCATCCTCCGCCTCATTCCTTTCCTCTCCCATCCTTCATTCCATCCTTGCCTATCTCTCTCTTTTCCTTCATTTTGTTTTTCGTCCTATCTTTCCTTTTTTCCCCTGAAACCTCATCTTCGCCATGGACCCCCGAACTGCTTTTTATCCTCTGTGATCCCTTTTCCAGCCTGGGTCGGGTCCATTGCCTACCGTGCTCTGTGACCTTTCAGTAATAATCGCGGGTAAAACTGCGGTCTTCAGGTCCAGGCTCTTCTAACGTTTCTTGTTTCTTGGATTTCTTGTTTATAATAGAATAGTAATTAACCCCTCCTTCTCCTTAGACCATCTCACTCTATCTTCGAGTCTTGCGATCGAGACTCGATTTCCCCCATGTTCCCCACTTCGCTTGTCCTCAATGCTTTCTTGAGGCTGATTGTTGTTCCGCCACGGTTGCTCTAGGATTCGCCGTTACGCGCCCGATTTCTCGCAGTCGCCCTCTATTTTCTCCTCGGCTTGACATGGGATCGATCCTTCTGAATCTACCGCGGTCGGATCGAATTGATAGCTCCTACACGATGCTGGGAAGCTCCATCAATCCATCGGAATCTGTTTATCGGACCTCATCTCACCATCCGTCGTCACAGCTGGAGACCGGAAGCTCCAGGTCTACGTCCGCGACCACTACCCCCACCTCGTCCAAGGCCCCGCCATCAACGTCTGCCGCTGGCTCTGCTCGCCTGCACTCCCACCCACCACCATATGATGTGCCGGCCTACATCACCCGTCAATCTCACATCAACTCCCTTCCTTCCACCCGGGCGTCTTCAACTACCCCAGGGCCAACCCACACCCCTCCCCATTCGGTCTCAATGAGCTCGACCACCGCCAGCCACACACATCACCCCGAATCTTCCTTCCAGTCGACTCCACACACCTCTAACCGATTCGGAGATGTCGGCCAGACAGCCACGGAGCCGACACTGGTCGCTTCATATAGCCACTCATCACCCGCGTCGCCGCGGTTGAGGCCGACATTTCAGTCGCTACGCTCTCTTGGAGGCTCCGAGGCCAGTTCGCCGAGTCGCATCAAAGTTCGTGACCTGTCTCATATACAGAGCTTCGCCAGCGAAGAGTTTTTGGCGCAGTCGCAGAGGAGTCAGGCGCCCGGGTCATGGTACCAAGAGCGCCAGTATGAAATCAGTTCCATGCCGGTCACGGATATCATTGAGATGGTTGCGGGGCTCCTGACGAAAATCACCACCACCAACGACCTGCACCACGAGCATGTCCATCGACATATTCCGCCACCTGATAGCACGGCCAACCTCAGCCCACAAGCTACCAGCGTACTTGCTTTTCATGGCAAAAACGTACCGAGTATCACTATTCTCAGTTACCTAACGCGTATCCACAAATATTGTCCCACCACCTACGAAGTTTTCCTCAGCCTATTGGTATATTTCGATCGCATGACGGAGTTAGTGAACAAGGGCCAACTTGAGCGCCTGCAGCGCCGCTGGGACCGTGGAGCAACCGTGCACACTGACCCATCCAGGTCGAGGTTTTCTGATTCGTCGACCGGTCATACACAAGCGTCCCCAATGGTCACTCCGCCATCATCGACCGGGATGCGAGCGCAGGATCCAAAGAGTCCATCCTCCATTTCACCGTCTCTTTACCCTCAGGACGAGAACGAAGGCCTCGGCCATTTTTTCGTCGTCGATAGTTTTAACATTCATCGGCTGGTCATCGCGGGCGTGACTTGTGCCAGTAAATTCTTCTCTGATGTTTTTTATACTAATTCTCGATACGCAAAGGTTCGTAACCTTTGAACCGAGGTAAAACAAATTCGCTAAATTGGATCAGGTCGGAGGGCTCCCCCTCGTCGAACTAAACCATCTCGAACTTCAATTTCTCCTCCTGAACGATTTCCGCCTCTCAATCTCCGTTGAAGAACTCGAAGCGTACGGTACGATGCTGGTGGAGTTCTACGCTCGAGAAATTATAGCCCAGCAGCAGCAACAGCAGGCACAGAATCCAGTAGTGCCTCGTCCGATGGACCCATCCACGGCTACCGATTCCCAGTCGGACGGGATGTATATGCGATCTCGCGATAATCGCCGAGCCGACCAGCCAGAGGTCCGCCAGACACCTACGCCCCCGTAATAGTCATAGCTCAAATACGGCTTGCCAGCTGGTTGCCTTTAACCTTGCAATGCTATAGTTATAGGGTTTACTGGTGGTCTATTGCGCGCGGATATGTATCAATGACCGACCTGCTCTCATTCGATGATTGGCGTCACATACCCATTTTTTCGCTCTAGCCTTGTGCTTGTGCTGGTTTCGGTTCTTCTTCGCGCGTCTCCCAAGACATCGCTTCATCACTTGACATTTTTTTCGTATAGACTTTGGGCTGTCAGCATGTCGGTTTTCTCACATTGATTCTGGCGACGTTTCTCTATCTTTCTACTGGTCTTCATCCGTCTTCGATATCCTGCAGTCATGAATCACCTTGTCCCCGCCTGCTGTCTCTGCATCCATGAGCTGGCGTTCCCGGCGTTGTTCTCTCCTCTGTCTCTTTTTTCTTCTATTCCGGCAGTCTGGCCTTGCGAATCATAACGTTATATTCTCTTTCTAATCTCCCATTGAGATTGATAATCGCAATCATCTCAAGCTCCATTCTCAGAAAACCGCATGCGGTATGCTGCAACTGCTCTATCAACTACCATGCAGACACGGAAATAACAGTGAAAGAGCCACTGCAACTGGGGCTGGACGCCTCTCATCCATACGTGCCTTACAAGAACCAAGTATCAGGTGGCAGCGAACTCTAGGGCCTTGTGTATATATCGATCGCTTGCATCATAGCAGGATGAGACAGGTGAGACACATTACATTTAGTTTACATAGTTGATGGCCACAATGGATAGATCCCATTCCTTCCTGATCTGGAACAAGTAAGCAGACAAGTGTCATGTCCAAAGCTTCGTTTGACCTGCAGCCATATCACCTGTAGATATAAAGCTCTGATAACCTGATTATCAAGAGTAGGTCCTGACTTCCTGCATCTGATATGTAGGGATATGCAGATGCAGATGCACGCCGTGCATGCAGCGTATGCAGCTATGTGCCCCTTAAATCAGTCTAGGTTGCATAAAGACACCCCAATCAATTGTTCTGCCCTGATACGTAAACGAACAATATAGGGAAGCATATAGCTTTAGGCTGATCATCCAGCAGTGTACAGAGACTGCCACAACCGCCGTCAAGCTCCCGCAGTCTTTATCTACCGCAACTTATAGTTGGATACGTCTACCAGACCTGCATGCATGTGCCTTTTTACGGCTGAGGGCAACGATACTGAATGTTGCAGAGTCAGAGACCCGAATCTAATGAAAGGCAAGCGCCGAACCTCGCCTGAGAGGCATAGATGAGTATATGGAGTGAAAAACTGAAAGATGGCATTGTCAAAGTCCAACGAGAACAGCAAGAGAAATAGAATCAAAGCGGACTGGAATAAGAGATATGTATGGAAACCCTCAGTCCGTACGTGCAAAGCGCGAGACATCGAACGGAAGACAAACAAGATCAACAACCCGGACACACAGAATCCATCCACCTCAACGCACCAAACCCGCATCGTCCAAGCACCCGGCAATCGGTGATCATAGTACTTGCTGTGGTACGTTAGCAACGGCTCTGAAACGACCCAGCGAAAGCTTGCCTCACGAATCTTGCTTCGAATGCTTGCCAACAACCTCAGCATGCGCACACCTCCAATTCGTCCGCCCTAGATCATCTCAGTCAGTGCGAAGAACACACCAATGGTCGACACCAAGCTTACCCAGTGTCAGTCGGAATTCCTCCTACGTCCAACTTCCGGCGAACCACAGGTCTGTTAACACGCTAGGAGATCTCAGCAGTTGCCAGTGAAGCCGCGACGAACATCGGAACTTACCATGTGTTCCAACAACACAAGCCACCATCCTCCGGCACCGTCCTAGAGACTCTCTCGATTGGCCGCGGGCGTCTGGCGCTTCAATTCAAGTCAGCCAACTCAAGAAGCGTAACTTGTGTCAATGAAAAGCACTCACCTGAAGTCAAATCGGAATTCGGCTGCAATACAGTCTTTCAAGAGTGGCCACCAACCACTAGATCGTATCAGTGTCAGTAGCACAAACAAAAGGAGAGCAACCTACCCCCAATTCTACGCTCTTGCGCCACCACAACCCTCCGGAGGCGTACACAGTCTTCGATGCCGGTCTGGGCATCGGCTCGGTGGGGCGGAGCGCCGCCCTTGGCGCTTCTGGCTAAGGGACTACGACTTACTTCCCGCGTACGGGGGTGCGTCATTACCCCCAAAAAGGGACACGCACAATGTCCTATAATTCTTATCAGTCCAGCTTCGATGATGTCAGAAGACGGTCGACTCACCTTAAGGTCAGAGCAGTAGCGCCATCAATACTTCAACAGGACAGAGTACGCCAGCGACCTATAAACTCATCAGCAGTACCTGGTTGGTCTTCCCCATCGAAGACCAGAGCCAGCAGACAACTATGTGAAGGAACGGAGCTGAACAAATGGACGATACGGTGTCACAGTGGAAACCAACGTTATTTCAAGAAACCAGTCATCCTCATCAGACTCCCACGGAACGTAGTGGAAGTGGCCGGTGGCCGCTAGGAACGACGTTTGAACACGTGTCTCGTCGGCACGATCCAGCGAGATACAGGCTGCACCGTAACATCTCCGAAACGAACGCGCTTCGCTGGCTTATCTTTGCGGAGTCGGTCGGCTGACGGAGTCGAACGTTGCGTACGTACCAGGTCTGCAGCTGGAATCGCCGTGCTTCGGGTGCTGTTTGTCGGGGCCGGGCGAGGTGACGTCAGGTGTCCCTCGCGGGATCGGTTGGCGAGTCGTGCCTGACGCTTGGCTCGGAATTGCTCGATGGCGGCGGAACTAGTGGCCCGAGTCGAAGCACGTGCTTCTTGCTGAGCGATCATCTCATCGATCCAACGGCGTCGCTCGGCCTGGGCGGCGCGAAGGTCGGAGATGCGGTCGAAGACCGAAGGAGCGGAAATCCGAGCTTGCTCTGAGCGAGTGGCAGGGCGAGTGGCGTTGACAGAAGAAGCGAAAGGCCGGACTCGTTCCGAGCGAGTGACAGGATGAGTTACGTTGACAGGAGGAGCGGAGGGACGGA